CTCTGGAGAGATAAAGGGAATAAAGTTCCGACTAGAGACGAGGAGCTCCACTTCCTCCCGGAAGCTCCGTTATCAAAATAAAAAAGCATCACCCACAGCGCAGGAAACAGTCCAGTTTAAATGATATTAACATGAAAGTGTCTGTCGTTTATATCAGAGTAGAAGAAGAACCACTGTCCGTTGTAAGGTAATTAGGCAAAATGGCTGACGATAAAGTTCTGTGTTCATAAAACAAGACTTTTATGTAAGTTGCTCAAAAGACTTAATCTTCCTGTATCCACTGAACTTTAATAACCTTTATAATGTGCTGCTTTTTTTCAATATCTTTATATATGATCATCTTATTATATTAGTTATTTATTAAATACTTTTCGTACATGGTATTGATTATCGTGTATTTATTGTGTATTTATTGGTTATTATATCATTTGATATATTGATTGTCATATCAGGTTTGACTGAGTGTAATGTACAAATAATAATAATATAATAATAATAATATTGATTTGGATTTTGTGGGAAAATAAAACGATCTAACCCCCCACTATCAATAATAATTATTCAATAATATTTTTTTGTTTATAATAATGAATGTATTTATTATTATGATTATTTGGGTGTCCTGCTTTGGTCGGTGTGAAACCCCATCCAGACATAACCTCCCCCCTTTTTTGATTTTCATCTGTCGATGGTATTATTGACCCATCCTTTTTTATGACCCTTTACTTGGGTCTAGGTCGAGTATCACAGATCCGCGTGATTTCGGGTTTCTGTCGTATTTTTATTGAATTTGAAGTTTGGCCTCCCAAGTCGTCCATCAATCAAAATCAGTTTATTATCGGTCGTCCCAAGCGCAATTCGTGTGGGGTGGTGAAGGGTGCGCGATATGCCCCATAAATAAAAAAAATTTTTCGGGGGCCATTTTTTAAACAATGGTTGGATTGATGGGGAAAAAAGCCCCCCTTTCTCCAAATCCGAATGCTGTTGAAGCAGGCCACGTGAAATATATCATCTAGGAAGCCACCGAACTGACGGAAGAATCTTCCTCGCGCGCGGTAGCTTTGCATATGGAGTTTGTCGCAGAAGCCCACAATTCCGGAAAAGAGTCCCTAATGCTCCGTCACTTCTATCTTTCTAAAAACGCAGCTCGATTTATTAAGGCTTCGTACCCCAGTAATCATGTAACCCCACGTCACGCTCCCCTACTAGTAAT